ATCTTTTCATACTTACTCTTATTAAACATCCTACAATAAATATAAAGTCATTATTAATATGAATACTTTTGAAAAAAAGACAACGATTACACTTCAAAAAATTAAAAATGCCTTACATTTTTAAACATCTAACTCTTTAAAAAATGTTTTATATTTTTTAACAGAGGGAGTATAATTTTTATTTTTTATTATGAAATTTCTCACATATTGTTTGTGGGTTTTTTTCATTCCTTACATTGGAAGTTTTTATACATTAAATTTCTTGTGTCATCATTTATTATTTTTTTAATTTTTTTATAATTTTTAATTATTTTATCTTACTTATTCTCATTTATCATTTGCACATCCCCAACAAGAAGAAAAGAAAATTGTGGATTTGCCTTGTTACGAAAGTTTTAAAAATTAGACCGGACAAACTAATTGATCCGGGAATCCATCATTGATCCGGTTTAGTTGAGGCAGAAAAATAGGGAAAGAGTAAACCCAGTCAATGAATCCGGAAAAACAGTAAAAAATGACCGGATAATGATTCAACCGGTTGAGGAGAGTGTATCTTGAAAAAAGAAGAAGAAGAAGAGAACCAGGTGGAAGGGGCGTGAGAACAAAGGAAGATGAAAAGAATAAAAGAAATTTAAAAGAAGGCATTTTTTTTTTTTAAACGCCTTATATGTGCTTTTCAGTCCCAAAGCTACTAGATCTGCATGAAACCATTATATAAGATTAAAAAAGACCACCTTGACTGTAACTGGACTGTCGGAGACTCCACGTCGTTGGAGATAGAGGAAGGAAAGAAGGATTCGCATTTGGCACGGCATGCTCAACAGTCAACACCATAAGGTGATTCCAGCCCTTTATTTTATTTCAAAATAATCTCAACCCTTAATTTTAAATTAATTTTTAAATATTTTAAATATTATATTTGTAAAATTAAAATTATAAAAAAATATTATTAAATTTTGAATGTCTAAAACATATCTTGATAATCAATTATAAAAATTATAAAAAAAATTTAATATTAAATTTAATCATTTAAATTATATTTGGATTGTTCAAACTACAGTCAATTTTTGAAAGATATAAAAAAATTTATATTAAATTAAATTATCCAGATTAAATATGAACTAATAAGATTGATTATCAACAGATTTATTAAAAATTTGAGCTTTTTTATGCATTTTTATTTTGATTAGTATAAAATAAAAAAATTAAATTTGAATTATTCAGATCCTGTCAGGAGTGATGTGTATGATAGTGCTCATTATGTAATGAGCATCGAGAGCAATCTAGATTTAATATTAAAAATCTCTATAATTTTGATTTTCACAAATATAATATTTAAAATATTTAAAAATTAATTTAAAATTAAGGATAGAGATTATTTTAAAATAAAATGAAGGGTTAGGATCAGTCTTATAGGTGATGAGCACGGAACGCAGGAAAGAAGAGTCAAATGTTCAGACCTTAGATGAAAATGGTCCCTTTTGTTTTTTTTAACTTTTTGTTGTATCCGTCAGTAGTTTATAAAATCCCCAAATAAAATGAAAAAAATTTATAAATAGTTTATAAATTTTTTTATCTTAGGCGGTATTTAAAACCTCGGTCATTAGGTGTAAAGCACAGACTGGTGGAGAAAATCATGAAAAGTTAAAAAGAAGGAGACAAGCTATCACGTGGCAGAAGATGAGAATACCATTTAAGCATGAGACAAATATTTTAAAGCGAAAAGTAATTATCATTTCATTTCTCCACATAGGAGATTAGGCCGGGGAAGACCCTTCAGCTTGTTGAAGTTACCATATTCTATTTGTCAAATTATATGTATGCATATAACACTTTAAGCTTTAAATTATACACAATATTTCAAATTTTAAAACCTAATAATAATTTTTATATTTTAATTATTTGCAAAAAAAAATTTTCATTATTATTTTATTAATAAATCATTTATTTATTTTGACTCTTTCAAGGTAGTAGAGGGCCCTGCTTCCAAAACCGGTAAATCCGTAATCATTCCATTACAGGCGTGAAAGAGTGGAACGATATTCAGCAATTCTGATGCAGCAGCAAAGACAATTTGTGAAGAGACATAGCTTCAAAATCATATAAAACTATTAAGGATGTGTAGATTAATTTTTTTAAAATTTAATACATTTTAATTTTATATATTGAATATAAATATTAGAAATAATATTTTATAAAATTAATTTATGGGAAAATATTATACACTTCCTCCGTTCAAAAATGTAAAATATTTTTAACTGAACTTTACCTTTCAATAAAATAGTTACCTACTTTTAAATTATTCATATCTTTTTATATTTACCCATGTTAAACATTTTATAATAAATATAAAGTCATATCAATATGGACACTTTTTTAAAAAATAATGGTTATATTTTAAAAGACTAAAAACGTCTTACATTTTTAACATCCAACTCCTCAAAAAATGTCTGACGTTTTTGAATGGAGGGAGTAATTATTTAATTTTTTTGCTATGAAATATTTTATTAGTATATAAAAATTGAGAGTAAGGGAGAAGAATGAATATTCTAAATTTATTTTGTTTTTAAATAATATATATGTATATAAATCATAACATAATCATGAAAATTAATATTTAACAAAAAAATTCATATGAAGAAACAAATTATAAATTATTTTTTATTTTATTTTTCAAGTTAATAATATTTTAGTGGATTTATGGATTTTATTTCCCTCTCATTTCAAATCACTTCCGATGATCCAATCTTTACTAAAATAATGAGAAAATTAATTTTCAAGTCCTTTTGATTTTTTAAATTTTGAATTAAGTCCCTATACTTTATTTTATTTTAATAAAACACTTTTGATCAATTAAATATATTAATCCCTAAAAGTTAAAATTATTAATGAATGATGACTTTTTTTAAATAAAAACACTTTTAAAATTTATAGAAAATTTGATATAATATTTTTAGACAAAAATTTTGTTTTAATTCCATAATTACATTTTTTATTTTTTTATGAAAATTACATATATTTAAAATTTATTTTGATAGCATAAAATAATTACATAAAGTTTGAATTATAAAAATTTTGAAATTATATTAATTCTAAAATAATAAAATATTTTAATAAAAATATAAAAGCTCTTAATTTCATTTTTTAAAAAAATAAAATTAAATAATTTTAATAACCAAGAACTGATATATTTAATCTAACAAACTATAAAGATTTCAATAAAATAAAATAAATTACAATTAATTCATAAGGATTTGTAGATTAATTTTCTCATTTATTCACTAACAACACAAAATACCTACTAATATTTTGAGATTTATATAATTATTTTATATTATCAATTAATTCAAATTTGAGCCATGTCAAACCTCAACCAAATATAAAAAAAATTTTAAAACATAATTTTTTATATCCATAAAACTTATACTTAAATATTTACTTGGAGATATCAAATTATTTTCAGTGAACCCAAATCTCAATGTTGATCTAGACTGATTAATTTTTTATGATGACGTCCTCTCCGAAAAAAAATAATGAATGCTAATATTGTTATAGACATTTCTTGTTTAATTTTTTATATTTACGGTGCAACTAGATCACAATTAAATATTATACTGATTGATTTTTTCATGATACTAAAAAATAAATTTGCATGTTTTTTAAAACATTTATCCAATAAATATTTAAGATTTAAATATTGTCACTTTAAAGTTTAAGGTGGATGACATTATGACCATACTCCCTCCAGTTCATAATGTATCACACGTTCAACGTGTTTCTGATATACTAATGATATTTATTTATTTTTTTTCTAAATCTTATAAAAATTGACTTGCTTTTTTGTTTTGCCACAAGTAATTAACACCCACATTTGTATGTATAATTATTGATCTTTCACATTAATCAAACTGAGGTAAAAATAAAAATATATTTTTTAAAACTACAAAATATTGTTTTATATTTTATACCAATAAAATATTATTAAAAAAATCCTATATTATGGGGAAGTGATATTCACGATTATAACAAGCGAACCTAATTTGCCACCATGGAAAAAAAAAATGTGGACAAGAAAAATGGCCACTAATGACACTAGCCGACACTATATAATGGAAATCATCTTTAACTCACAACTACTTATATTAAATTATACTGGACGCCCCATTTAATGTCACGATCTTTCCGATGTGGGACCTACTCGCTTTATTGCAACCATTCCGCGTCTTCATCTTCAAGCATCAAACCAAACCAAACCAAACCAAACCGCACACGCGTCCGTATTTAGTGCGTATCACACTGATCAGCATGGTCTTACCGTGAGCCCTCGCTTTTGTTATCTTCCAATTTCTGTCGTCTATTTAAAATTTATTTTTTGCAATATTTTTAATATTATATTATTAAAATAAAAATTTATAAAAAAAATAATAAATTTAATACGAAAAGTGGATTGTTTTCTTAGCTCAATAGGAGATGAGTGCCATGTTAATTATTTCAATTAGTGAAATTTAGACTGTTTAAATTTAAATTTTTTTATTTTATTTTATATTTATCAAAATAAAAATTATAAATATTTTTAATATTTATTTATAATTATTCTGACAAAGGCAGATTTAATCTGAACTATCTAATTTTTTAATATTAAAATTTTTATATTTTTATAAATTAACATCCAAATGTAATCTGAACAATTTAATTTAATATTAATTTTTTATAATTTTTATAAATTAATTTCCTAGATGTATTATGAACTATATAAATTTAATATTAAGATTTTTAAATTTTTTATAAATTTTTATTATAATAATAAAATATTAAAAACATTAAATAATGAATTTAAAGTCAACGGCATAGATTAATTGAGGATAAAATTAAGTGGGCATCAGATCAGCCCTTCAAGTGATCACGCCGTGCTCATCAATGCCGATGAGCACGGAATGCGCGCGCTAAACCCCACACCTCTCTCCCCTTCTATATAAACTGCCATAGATCACTCCGATCTTCGCCACTTCATCTCATCACAAAAGTTAACAAAAGACAAAAAAAGCAGAAGTAATAATGGCGATGATGATGATGAAGAAGATGATGGGTGTGAGTCTGGTGGTGATGATGGTGATGATCCTTGTGGTGGTGGAGCTGCCACACACGGCGGAGGCTGTGACTTGCAGTCCGGTGGCTCTGAGTCCTTGCATGGGAGCGATATCGTCGTCGTCTCCGCCGTCGAGCGAGTGCTGCCAGAAGCTGAAGGAGCAGAAGCCGTGTCTGTGTGGATACCTCAAGAACCCTAGCCTGAGGCAGTACGTTAACTCTCCTGGGGCCAAGAAGGTTTCTTCCTCTTGTGGGGTCCCCATCCCTTCTTGTTGAATAAGTCAAACTAGTTTTATAGTAAGCCTGTGATCACTATCGTTTAATTAGTACCCTGCATAAGTGTTTAAGGAATAATTTCAGAAAAATATATATTCTTCTGGAGGGAATATATATATATATATATAATCTGTATCCTGTGTTCAGGACTTGGTTATAGCTTGAACAATGATGTTCTGGAACATGTAGTTTGAGAGTCTTAATAATCAATAATGAGTTATTGTATCAAGCTTTTTGTTTTCTTCCCCTTTTGTTCTTAACGATCTGATCCTTCTTTAAAAAAAATATATTTATGATTTATCATTTGTTTGGAATGCGAAAAAACGAGCACAGAAAATTGGGGTTGGGGGGGGGGACGAAAGGTAAACATATTTTTTCCTTTAGTTTTCTCTAATTTCTACTGTTTTTTTCTCTTCTAAACAAAGTCTTGATATCGTTATATGGGACTGCGCTGTTCCAATCAATATGATCCCTGTGGACTTCCTTAAAAAATTATTTTTTCTTGCTATAAAGTATTAAATTGTGGTGATTGCATTGCTTTATTACAATCACGATGGAAGGGATTTTTCTTTTTGTTCAAACGGTTGCGGTGTATTCCGTTTTAACAGTTATTTTTTATTCATCATGTAAAAAATAAAATCATGGTTGGTATTAGACCTTATAAGTTATAACATCAATATATGTATATATATGCCTTGACTATAATATCAAACAAAATTTATATAAAATAAATTGAATAAAATATATCTGGAATATATATATCAAAATATTAGATCTTATATAATTTTTAAAATAAAAATATCAGGTATAAGTTTGACTACATATATTTCAATGAAGATTAGCATATATGATTCTCTAATTGTAATAACTGTATAATATATACATGTGTGTGTGGAAATGTTTTACATTTATTTTGAATACACAATATGTAAATAATTTAACATTTAACATGTGTGTGCGCTGTATAGGGACAGAGTGATCCCATATATATCATTATATATATAAAAGTAGGGTTTAAGACTATGAGAGAATGCCATGTGTCCAATTTTAGGTTTGCCGCATTTCTGTGCTTCGAGATGCCTTTTGAGTAATTCTATGCTTTGGATTCAGGTTTGGAGTTAGGTTAAAAAAGTTTTATTATTTTTTATAAAATATAAAATATGATATTTAGGTTTGGAGTTATGTTTAGATTATGAATTAAAATTTTTTTTACTATTTAAATATATCCTCTTGAATATCAAAATTATAAATATAATTTTTATTAATATCTAAAATTTGACATAATATTTAGAGTATTTTTATAAATTAATACATATCTGTTTAGATTAAAAATTAAATTTTTTTACTATTTAAATCTATCCTCTTGAATCTCAAAAATTATAAATATGATTTTTATTAATATATAAAATTTGACATAATATATTTATAGTTATTATATCTAACCTTAATTCCGTGTATATATACTACATATATTATTATTATTATTATTATTATTATTATTATTATTATTATTATTATTATTATTATTATTAAAATTTATATTAATATATATCTATTTAAATATTTAGAAAAAGTATTATGTGTTTAAAAATTTATTGTTACCTATTTGAAATTCAAATTTGATTATATGTGTATTTAAATTAATATCTATTTATTTAAATGCTTTATCCAACTTAAATATATGGTAAAATTTTAGGTTCATAATATTTAGAATATTTGTATGCAGATATATATATTGATATTCAAATTTAAATTAATACATATATGTTTAGATTATGAATTAAAATTTTTTTTACCATTTAAATACATCCTCTTGAATATCAAAAATTATAAATATAATTTTTATTAGCATCTAAAATTTGACATAATATATTTACAGTTATTATATCTAGCCTCAACGTCCATAACTCCCTGTCTATATACTACATACATATATGTGTGTGTATATATATATTATGATTAAAATTTATATTAATATATATCTGTTTAAATATTCAGAAAAAGTATTATGTGTTGAAAAATATATTTTTAAACATTTAAAATTTAAATCTGATTATATGTGTATTTAAATTAATATCTATCTATTTAAACACTCTATCCAACCTAAATATATTGTTAAATTTTAGGTTCATAATATTTGGGGTATTTGTATGTTGATATATATATTAAGATTCAAATTTAAATTAATACATATATGTTTAGATTAAAAATTAAAATTTTATTTTTATTAGTATCTAAAATTTGACATAATATATTTATAGTTATTATATCTAACCTCAACGCCCATAACTAAATGTATTTGAAATTTAATGATAAGTTTGAAATTCCGTGAGCAAATCTCATATATGTAAATTTAATGATATATATTTAGTTATAGGTGTGGTTGGCAAATCTCATAATTCCGTGAGCCTCAAAAAATGTTGATTTTTACATATTTGAAATTTAAAAAATATATCTAAATATTATTAATACAATTATTAATGTATATTTAGTTTAATATATATCTAAATATATACACACACACACATAGATCACGTTTCGTGAAGCACTTTGGAACTCAAAATATATTAATTTCATATGTTAAGTTTGGTAAAATTTAAATTCTTTAAATATCTACACTAAATAAAACAATTTTTAATATCTATCATTTTGATTTTTTTTAAATCACCTCTTAATTTTTCCTCTCAAATCATCCTTATTCAATTATAAATTATTAGGTTAGGCTAATAGCACATTTTACAACTTTATATTAGAGTCACTCTTCTAATTAATTGCATTAAGTTCATTCTCCTTTCCACCATTATTCATAATACCCATGGCTTCTACTTCTGAAATCCATGCTATTCGTGCTATCAACACAACAAAAAAAGATTGGTGCATTATGGTTAAGGTGATTCATATCTGGAGATTACCAGGTAGAAATACATTCGAAGAATCCAATGATGTTGAATTGGTCTTCTAGGATGCTGGAGTAAGTGTTTATGCATTTTGCTTTTTGGATCCCCTTAATTATATAGCCCATGCATTGCACGTGAGTCTCAAAAAATTTTAATTTTTTGATATTTGAAATTTAAAAAATAATATGTCATGAAGGAGTTTCAAGACATGTATATTGAAACTCAAAATATATTAATTTCATATATTAAGTTTGGTAAAATTCAAATTCCTTAATGATTTCTACTTTTGTATTATTTGTTCTTATATTTCATATTGATTTATGATTAAGTATTACTTTAATAATCAACTTATCATAGGGTGATCGGATTTCTGCAATTATTTGAAAACCTTTTGTGAGACATTTTGAAGATAGGTTGCATCCCTTTAAAATATATGAAATTTCAAAATTTGGAGTCTCTCAGTGCTCTGGATCATATCGAACAATGGATCATCCTTATAAGATTAGCTTCATGTTCTCTACTACTATAAAGTTGCGTCCTGAGACAGGTTCAATCCATCATTTTGGCTTCAATTTTATTAATATTCCAAATATTGCAGATAGGGAGGCAACGAATGATAATTACTTAATTGGTATGTATTTAAATTTTCTAAATTTGTTCTTCAAAAAACTCTATTTGATAATGTCCTATTTTAATCTTTTTTTATCTATTAAAAATCTTATTGCGTTTTTTGAAGAAAAAAAAACTCACCAATCAAATAAAATTAGGGCAATTACTAAGTTTAAATTATCTATTTTTATCTATCTTAATCTTTAATGGTCTATTTTTCTTAATGACATGTGATTAAATGGCATTTTTTTTTTCATGACAAATGTGATTGGAAGATTATCTGGAATTGGAGAGTTGGAGGAACCGATTAAGGATGGGAAAAAACAAAAACAGATAGAAATAAGCCTAGAAGATGCAGAGTAATATGACACAAACTTCATCAATTAATATACTTGAAACCTTATTTAATTTTTGGTGCCTGTGATGAAAATTCATTTGATACTATTCTTATCATTATAGGAAAAACAAGGTTAGTTGTACTTTATGGGGAGCCTTTGCAGATGATGTACTAAAATTGACAGAGGAAGCACTAAAAAAGCCAGTTATTATCATATTGTAGTGGTTTAAGATTAGAGAATTCAATAGTACGTGTTCTCACATAAATGTCTGAACGATATTGATTCAATTATATATACATTCTCTTTAAATGTTTTGATTCTTACATAGAAATGAGGAGGCTTACTAGCACAATGTATTGTTCGCGAGTTTTTGTACACCCTTCAATTCTAGAGGTCTCCAGTTTTATTTCTAAGTGAGTCTGTCATACTATAAAATTTTGATTTGGTATGTTATGTCATGTTTATACTGTTGTCAGTGGGTTATGATTATGATTTTGAGAAGTAAATTATACGAATATAATCTTATTTTATTTTTAGTCTTGAGGCGTCAGGTAATCACTTGGATGAAGACATAGAGCTATTGACTAGCTAAAATTCTCAGTCTATTGGTGAATCTTTGCTCGCAATGCCAAATAGGGTTAAGATTGAAGAACTATCATATTGTAAACATGTAAGTGTTGTGTATATTGTAAGTATATTATGAATATTATATTAATTTTGTATGATGGTTGGAGTGTGATATGACAAGCTAATATAATTATAAGAGGATGAAGTTGTGACTCTTGGCACTGTTGTCGATATTAATACCGATAGAGATTGGTTCTACAATGCATGCAAGAAATGTAATAAGGGAGTACTCCTTGATTGCGATGGGTTCTATTGCACAGAGTGCAATAGAAAAGTCAAGACTGTTATATACCAAGGTATTTGTTAAAATTGCGTATTAATGCAAATGATATTCATTTATATTCTAAAATTTTACATGTATGTTTGTAGGTTTAAGGTGACATTTACTGCAGTTGATGATACTGGATCTGACACATTCATTATGTTTGATCCTATATTTTCTAAGTTTGTAAACTGCACTACTGTTCACCTAAGAGAGTCTATTCCTAAGGTATGTATTCAATGCCATTTTTATGTTTAATAGCAATATGAATATTGCACACACATATTGAATATCAAATTGCAATAGCAATACACATATAATAGATATTGAATTAGTGACAATTTTAATTTAATTAATATTGATGACTCTATTTTTTTTAATTTTATATTAATAATTAAATTTTATAAAATCAAATATGATATTCAACCATAAAATACATTATCATAAATGTAGAAATCTGAAGATGAGGTTGTGCTTCCGAATTGTTTTTATGAGT